CTCCTTGGAGGCAAGGATTCTGAGGCTTCGTCTGATATACTTTGGACATGTTGTAAGGAGGGACCAGTCCTTGGAGGAAGACGTCATGCTTGGGAGGGTGGAGGGACAGCGCAGGAGAAGAAGGTCCTCTATGAGGTGGATTGATTCAGTGACTGGGGTAATCAGGATGGGTGTGTTGGAGACAGTGCGATTGGCACAGGATAGAGCAGGGTTTAGGGCTGTTGTACATCGGGTCACTATGAGTTGCAAGCGACTCAACGGCATATAATAACAACATTATTTAATATAAAAAATTTGTATTGCTTTGATGCCAATTTTATTTCATTGTGGTTTTGTTCTATCATTTTTCTGCCTGTTTTAACATTTAATATGCCATGTATTTAAAAAAATACATATTTGATGCCAGAAAAATTAGTTTCAATATGATGTCACAATTTCTTGATGAGATGAATCACCTGGGTTCGAGAACCTTCTTACAAATTGATGACTATTTTTAGTCGGAAGCAAAGAACAAAAATTGGAAGAAATGAGAAAAGCTTAGCTATTATCTCTTAATTAAGAATGATTAATATTACCCAGATTATCAGCCAGAATGTAAGGAATGGGGAATTTCCATCTGGTGGTCGGATCTCTCAGGCCATTTCTGGAGTTCTGTGAAAACAAAGGCAGAGATGAGTGGGAAGGCTAGTTGTCAAGTTCTCCTCCTCCTTGGTTCAACTGTTCCACAAATCTTAAAGCATTGTACTATTTTCTTTGGAGTATGCTTCATCATAGACCATTTGGCAAAGTCAAAGAAATTACCAAAAAGGAAATGAATGAAGCCTGCAGTTCTCAAAAACTGAAATCACCACTCCAAAAATTCAGTTAGGTTCCTTCTCTCACACTTTTCAAATTATTAGGAAAAATGAATATTCCAGTAATTTCCTAATTATAGATTCTGGTGTCATATGCTAACTTTTTCACCTGTCATCATCAGATTAAGAGGAAATCCTTGTAGGTACAGAATTGCAGATTAGAATCCTTCTCTTCACAGCACCCATGTAAGAATGAACAAGGAGCAGAGGCTCGTGCTCTAATGACCCGCTAAATCTTTGACAAGCACTCTCATGTCAGACACTTACCCTCAGAAGAATGTCCCCTTGAAAGAGGTCCAAGCCTGCATCTAGATATAGATTTAATAAAGGGTATAATTGAAATAGAGTTACTAGAAGACCTCTCCCATAATAAAATCAACCCTCATTATAAATCTTTACTAAGTTTTATGTGTGAAATTCATTGTTGAGGCAGAAAAATTATAAATGAATATAAATGTCTTATATAAATATGTATTGCATATTGTTACAGGCAAAATTTCCTCTTATTTTGGGGACAAAGAAGCTTGTCCAAGAGTCTTCAAAATGAGGCACAAGTTAAAACACAAAAAACCCGTCTTGTTGAGCACTGACTCCAAATGTCTCACACTTCAGGAAAAAGGAGTGAAATTCAAAGACAGTTCAGTGATATTCTAAGTAGTCAGTGGCTAAGTCAGCACTAGAACTCCTGACTTTCTGACAGGGTCATTTCTGTTATTGTGGCATCCTTCCTCTCATCCCTAAGTAAATGGGTTGGTGTTCTCTGTTCCATGACCCTCAAAAGCCTATATAGTGTAGTGGGTTGATTGTTAAAAATGCCTTTCCTAGGCCATTTTCCTTGAGTTTGTTACTTGGATGGATGGGAACATACAAATAGATGTGTTAGCTTAACCACAAGGAGACTGGCTAGTTTTACTGTTCTGCTAGGTTTAAATTCAGCAGGTTCAGTGACAGAAATTTGGAAATCTCACTACCAGAAAGAAGCAGAGATTGCAGACCACATCCCTTGGGGTCCGAGATTCATGTGCCAGTGAAATCTAGGCCTATAGGAGACCAGCAATAGGAGCCTCAGCAGAGAACTAGAAATCACCTGAGACAGAGTTGACCTGGGACTGCTGTCCAAGGAGCCAGAACTAGGAGCCTTCATCCAAGCTTAATGGATGACTAAGGGAAGAAACAATCTAACTAAAAGAACTTTATAACATTGGCCTAAAGGCAGAAAGTTGAAGACTGAAGGGTCTGCTAGCATACTTCAGAAGCTGTACTGACTGAGAAATTGTATCCTGTCACCAACCTGAATTGTAACCTATTGACTTCCCTAATAAACCCCATAATCATTACTCTGTTTCTGTGAGGTCTGCATAGCTATTACAATGGATTTTGGACTTAGTAGAGAAACAAGGTGAGTGTTGATATTAGTGGAAATAGATGTGAGGAAGGGGTCATGTTTGACCTCACAGGAATTGGGGGGGGGTGTTTATGGATATAGATGATGATGATGGGGACAATCCCACAGGGTTCTGAACCTGGAGGCAGGGTAACTGAGTCTGGCCCTAGAAAAATGTTATTATGTGTTTTAGTGACTGTGCAAAGGGATTTGACAGTGTGAATTATAATAAACCTTGGCTCATATTAAGAAGAATGGGAATTACCGAACATTGTGTTATGCTTATTTAAAATCTACACCTAGACCAAGAAGCTGATGTCTGAACAGAGCAAAGCAGCACAGCATGATTTAAAATTGAGAAAGGTTTGCATCAGGGCTGTAACCTTTCTCTATACCTATTAAATCTGTATGTGGAGCAAATTACTCAAGAAGCTAGATTTTATGAAGAAGAATGTGGCATCAAGATTGGAGGAAGACTTATCAACAAACTGTGCTAAGCAGATGACACAACCGTGTTTGCTAAAATTGAGGAGGACTTGAGATGCTTTCTGCAGAAGATCAAGGACAGTGTGTGGCTAGGGGTGAGAAAATCAGCAGTGGTATACCACAGAGTGCTAAACTCTTGGAAGATGTTTGGAAATACAGTTTCGCACTTATTGATCCACATTTGCCTGATTTTCCTTGTTATAAGGCATCATTTTGAACCAGGTTTTTAAAGAACAAGGGTAGCACAAGGCGACAGAGACAGACTTGATTATTTCCATGCTGCCTCATGCAAACAGTTAAGCACTGAACTAGTATGGCTCGCTCTCTCTCTCTCTCTCTCTCACACACACATACACACACACACACACCCCATATAGACACAAGCTGCCATCAAGTCATAATCAACTTTTAGGTCACTCTCCAGCATGGGGACAAATTTGGAGACAAGGATGGCAAAGCTTCATCTCACATTCTTTGGACATGTTGTTAGCAAATGCTTACAAAGGGATATCATACTTAGAAGGGTGGAGGGGTCAGCAAAAGAAAGACTTAAATCAAGATGGTTTAACATGGTGACTGCAGCAATGAGATCAAGTGTACCAGAGATGGTGAGGTTGGCACAGGATAGGACAGGATTCAGATCTGTTCACAGGGTCATTACGAGTTGTAGTAGACTTGATATCACCTAACAACAACCTATATAGTAAAGAGATGTTTTTCATTGGTTTTATAGTCCTGAATTGGTTGTGGGACCGCAAACTAAAAAAACATCTCGAAGACTAAAGTACTCAATTTTACTGAGTAAACAAAAGACTATATTAGAAAAACACTTCTTCTAATACAAGCCTTGTTTTAAGACGCAGTAGATTTTTTTAATTTCATACATCCTGACTGTCTGACACCAAAGAGAAATATTTTAATGTCTAGCTCTGAATTCTTTGGATCTATTCACCCATGTGCCCATTTCCCCTAGCTATTTCAATTCTGTTCATGCAGTTATTATCAATAATTTTCAAAGTTTTTTTACATACAATGTGCCCTCATAAATAACATGTACTATACATGCCTATAATGTACATTGGACACTAACACTTGAGCGGATGGTACAGAAATACAGTAAATATGGGCCAATCTCTCTTCCTTGTGAATTAAACTGAAGGAATTGAATCAATATGTATGAGTTGTTTGGCTTTGTAGAATTCAAATAGTACAATGAGTTATATAAGTCAGAAAGAGTCCTTGCTAAAAGTAAAAGGGTGGGGAAAAATATACCAAGCAAATGGCAACCAGAAAAAAGCAGGAGTAGCCATATTAATCTCTGATAAAATAAATATCAATGTAAAAACCATCACGGAA